ATCAATTCAAAAAAGTACACAGATTATGTATACACACACATTTGTGTGCTTATGCGTGTACACGGTTCAGCAGAAAAGTTTCTCACACGCGCCAGGCTTTTCTGTTCTTTTGCCCGTCTCATACAAAGCACCGTTTCTTTTACTATTTCTTTTTCCAGAACCTCTTCAAAAGGAAGTGCAGAGCATGGCGTTTCTAGAAGTCGTATCAAAACTCCGCAGCCATGAGAACAAAACTGTTGCCCAGCAGGCCTCGCTAACAGAGCAGAGACTTGCTGTAGAAAGCTGAGGAAGGTTTTGTTTCCAATGCATCCCATCACAGATTTCACCTTTGTCCTCCGTCCTGCTGCCGCTCCTGCTATGTTTTCCACTGTATCACTTGTGCATGTGTGTAATGTTCCCACACAAATTGATGAACTGCTGTAGGTACCCGTCCAAAAAGGTTTCTACAAATTCATAGGTGGTGTTAACATGAACCTGTCTCCACCCGTAACTGTTCTACTTGTATTCTTGTTGCTTGGGCCACATAGTAGAATGTGCATGTTGTAGTCCTATGATGACGTAGAGGTGGTACTACACAATGACTCTTTCCTCACACCCCCTAACTGCATAACAATGTACTACTAAATTAGGGACAATACAAAATGCAGCAAGTCCAGACTAGTGTGCTGACTGTAGGATTAAGAAGTAAATCTAGCTCCATTTTTGGTGCTTTGGAGATTCAGGTTTGAATGCAATGTACTGCTGCTCATTCACTGGTCTTGCCTATTAATGTCAAACTTGTGGTACCTAGAGGTAACAAATAAAAATTTCAGTGCTCTCACTTTATCCTGTGGTTTGTCCTTTTTTTGTGATCACATGCAGAAGCTGCAACTGCACCACCATGCACTGGTGAGGAGCCCTTTTTGTTCCTGGCTCTGGCCCCGACACAATCACTGCCTTTCAGTTGAGCGAATACAAAGAAAACCATTCTAACCACTTTCACTGTGTGTGCTCACACAGAAGCACTGTGTAGTTTAACGGTCATGCGTTTTAACAGGAATACACTATACAATCCGTATCCCATAAAGCTACGTGGGTATGAGTGCTCTCAGGCTTGCTTGGGATTGGGCTTTTGTTTGTTGGGTTTTTTTTGTAGACGGACTTTAAAGGCATATCTTGCAGCAACTTTTCAATAGAACCCCATCAAGTGAGAAATGCAGCATGCAAGTCTTCCTTTTCCTCCTTTCCTAGGTAAAGAACTTGGGAAATTGCCAGCATCTTATCTCACAGCTGCTCTTTTGTAGGTTTGTAACGTGCCAGCGAGCAAACCAGCAGACAACTCTTTGGCAAAACAGGGAGCAGTTGGGATAGCAGTTTCCAGCAAGCCAGCACATGTTATTTTTGACTGCGCAATACCATTGTCTAGCTTGATCAAGCCCACAATGCACAAAGACCACAAGATCTGTAACATTCTAAAGTGAACTCAGCATGCCCAGTGCTGAATTGCCAGACTCAGAAGTTTCAGGCTCCATTTTTTTATCAGCAGAAGTGTCAAACCCAGAGGCCAAGCACCCATGCAATCCCAGGCCACGTGGTTGCAAAATCACTGCTTTTGACCTTCCCAAATTCACTTCCCAGCTCCATGAAACCGCTGGGTATCCCACGGACACTGTGATGGGAAGATGCCAGTCATACTGGGAAGGGATTATGTATACAAGCTCTGTATGAGAAGAAACTTGCCCCAAATAGTCAGTTTAAGCTGAGACTGTACCAAAACACAGCAGATGCTACCAGAGTACTCTCACAGCAGAGATCTCATGTCCATTTAATCCAGTGCCAGAAACACACAGAAAAAGCCTCTAATATTAAACTGTACAACAGCCTCTTATTTAAAAAAAGAAAAAAAAAAAAGAAAAGAAAAGACATTTGCTAGGAATAGTACAATAAAGCCACAGACAGTGTGTAGAGCTGTGAACACAGACCAGGACCCCATGCCATCAGGCTCCAAATAACACAGAACCTCTGCGCTGCTGAACGTAACCAACATGTTTACGATCACAGTTCATAGCGGACCCACACGAGCCCGAGTTTTCTCAGGCGCGGAAATAATTTCCATTGATTTAAATAGATCCCAAAATACATTTGAAAGACCAGTTATCAATGACTTACCTGGTTCTAGAAAGAGATTATTCCTTTTGACATCAGTATAAACTGCAACTGTTCACACGAGCTGATCACACGTCAAGTTGTAACACTGACAAAATTCCCATGCACCTGGCTGTCTAACTGGACCTCAGGTTAAGCTTTAGCTGTATCCTTATCTCCAAATTTTTATTAGGGATACCACTGTCACAGCAAGCACAAACAAAAGCCAACACTGATATCCTACTTTCAGATGGTTTCCCTGGATGGAATATCAAGTGGCTTACATTTCCAGATAAGATCTGTGCTAAGCCTATACACAGAAGGAGAGTCTGCATAAGGGCAAAGATGGATGTATGTTGCAGTAGAAGGAGGTAATTGAAGAGACTGTGTTTATCCACACAAATGCTGTGCAGTTCTGAGGCATGCTGCAGCCAGCAGGTCATTTCTATGTAGCTGGTAAATCATTTATCCTCTGAGTCTCTTTTAATAAGAGAAACGGGATCTAAGGACATTACCATCACATGCATTTCACTACTCACTTGACTGAAGTCAACTGAATTGAAATTGCTGACAGTAGTTCTGATTAGATGTTTAGTAGGTAGATTACATCTAAGTAAAGCTTGACATCTGCGGCTCAGACTATTTTTATGACCATGACGCCAGGCATCGGGCCTTTTCATTTGTCTACTGCCACAGCAAACCAAGCTAAAACAATCACTGCTGCCACACTACACAGGGCAGGCACTACCTCCCTGGTGTGTTAACATTTGTCTGCATCTGTATGACTTCTGCAAGACCTAGCATCACACCAGTCAGGAAGATAAAAAGCACACATATATTTTTACATTTCACAGTGTGGAAACACAAGGAAAAGTTTCACCTCAGGTAAGGCACAAACCCCAATAATACAGGCCTTGGATCCAGAGGACCCATTGGTCAAATGAGATCACGAGACTCAGAAAAGGTAATTTGTTTCAAAAGTTCTAGAAACGATAACTAGCCTCAACTTCAAGAAAGAGTATGCAAGTCCATAAGTTTGACAGAATGCAAGTAGCCACCCCTAGTCTCCCCCTCAATTGTGAAAATGGCTTGTCCAAGTGTGTCACATCTATTGTATGCTACAAAGATTTAGGCAATACCCTTGACTTTGCTTCTTTTTGGTTGACTTCCGTTCTTCCTCCCTCCAAGGCCTCCACATTCACATTCGTATTTTGCCAAGCCATTTCTGTATGTTCAGATACATGTATATGCCTGAAATATGCAAAAGGCATTGAGCTTCAATTTGGATACAGAGGCACGCTTCTAAATCAGTCACAGTGGTGTTTTGTGGACAAAACTGTAGGTTTCAGATATTGAATTGGATTAGCTTGCTCTACAGTTTTTGAAATACTAAAAAACTGGGCTGCTTCCTCCTCTCTGTCTAAACAAGCACAAGACATCATTACTCATTTTTACCTGCACAATAAAATAAGCCAGCTCTCACTACTTCTGTTTAAGGATATGTTGCACTTAAAAAAGTGAAATTCCCACTTCCCTTTACAAAAAGTTTAATTAAGTCATGACAAGTCCCCTTTGTGCTGCTCCCTGCAAAGCAGCAACTTCTGAACAATTCAGGGTCACTAAAATGATTATGGGGAGAACTCCAACAGTTGTACTAACCAGCAGCCACAGCAGTCTGAGGAACACTGATGACCTGTCAGAAAGAAGCAGAGCATGTTCATTAGCCAGGGACTTCGACAACAGCTGACAGTAGATATGGCATCTTGTCATGTAGGGATGTGCTCTTCACATATTAGCCTATTATTCATTTAAGGGCAGCCGCTGGTGGTGTGATAATGTGCTTTGTGACTTAATTGGAACACGATATTCTACACTGTAAATGAGAGACTTGGGGATTTATTTCCCCTGTTAGTTTGGGGGAAGGCAAGTAGGGGGTCTTCTCCTGGCGGAATTTTGCATTAACGTATCTTTGTACCATTAACGTTAAGTGCTACATCAAGAGTACACATTCACTACATCATATTTCACGCAATTTTATTTATAAAATTGTAATTATCTAACAAATTGCATATAAAATGATTTACTTCAAGTAAATACAGAATACTGCACAACTATTAAAACTATTGTATTGTCCATCATAAGTGTATTAAAACATTCCTAAAAAATGCCTCTATTAAAAAACAAAAACCCAAGAACACAAGTAGCATGATCAAGACCACTTTCAATAGCTTAAAATGAATTACCAGGAAGTTGCATTAACTTCCTAAGTAGACTCCAGTTACATCCATTGAGATCAGCATGTGATACAATACCACAGTCTAATGCTAAAGATGACAAGTAATACATTATGCACCTGATCTATGCTTTTCTCCTAGACTGAAGGTAACCAGTCCGAAATCAGAAAACTAAAGCTCAAGCCAAACTCTACTGGGCATGCAGTTCTGTTATAGCAATACTTTCAATCGGTAAGTGTAGTTGGCTTTTACAATCAATTTTACAACTGATTAAAAAAAAGGAACACAAGAGAATACATTCGTATAAAAAGGAATGATACACAAAGGGTAAATATTGACACCTTGTCGTACACCCCAGGATGAACCAGAGAGACAGATTCAGTTGGAACTAATCTGGAATATATGTATCGGAGACAGGTCTGAGTCACAAAACCCAAATCCCAATCTCCCCAGAGCTCAAGGTAGTATCAGGTCCATCTCTACTATGTACACAGCGTGAACATAAACACACATACAGATGTAGCTTTTCATTAACACATTTATATTGCCGAAACACAAAAGACAGCTAGCAGTGCTGCCTGGTGCACGCTAGTAGTCACAACACTTCTTTTTATACTGCATGTTAAGGGAGATAGATTTTTTTTTTTAATATCTTTTCTTCCAAGTGGCAAAATTCGGTAGCTAATGGATCCAAGAGGGTAGTTTTGTTTGCTTTAGACAGTTTCATGACCAATTAAAGATATCTGAAAAAGCTTCAGAGATAAAACAAAAACGGGAGGGAGTAACTGGAACCTTCAACAGTGCTTGACACCTCTTAAGATCTAATCTCCTTCCTAGGTATTTGCAGAACTGCCTTTTCAATGCACCCAAAAGGCACACACAGCAAGAAGGGAAAGGGACTCAAAAATTCGCGCGGGAGTTTCTCTTGAAGCCAACATTGTTAATCGGCATCAATTTTACCAAGGGCATCTCTAAAGTAGTAAAAACACAGATTAACATCCAGGACAGTTCTTATAGCACCATGGTTAGTCCTGCCACAGGTGATGGCAACCTCCCAGAAGTGGTAGGGGGTGCCGACTCCGACCCTCCACGTTACAGTCGAACGCCGTTCTGATGCCAATAGCGAGGCGAAAAGGCAAGGGAGGTCCTGCTACTAAGGAGAGCCCGAATGGCTGGCGGGGTTCCACCTGCCCCGGGCGCCTGCTGCACGCCCGCCGGGCAGACACTAGATGGCAGGCGACGAAAGCGCTCCCGCCTCCTCCGGGGCCAGGTAAAGCCTGACCGCCCGCCCAGCTGCCATCAGCGAACTCTCACGGTGGGCGCTGTGCGGGTCTACGACAAACACTTTCAGGGTGAAAAGCAGTCATGTGCAAGAATCGTTTAATCTGCATGCTACTATTTACATTTCGAACACTATTTACACAGCAGAACTACAATTAGCATCTCTCTCACAGGGGAGAGAAGGCGGCTTTCAGGACAGAGTACACTTGAGAGCAAGCATCTCCACAGCTTCAAACTCTAAGCGGCACAATCAAAATTACGGATTTTGAAGCAAAGAGATCCTACTGCTACTGAAACAGACACACAGAGACAAATCAAACGTTTGCCCATTAGGCTATTAATAAGGAAAAAAAATAAAGATCTCAAACAACAGAAAGGCCTGTGAATATGGAGAGTATTTAGAAAGCAGAGAGGAGCGAGGACCATGATGCCCTTTGGCAGGGCTCAGCAGGGAATTTAGAAATGGCTTTAAGGCCAGGGCTACTGCTGAAGCTACCGGACCTCTCGTTAGCAACGCCACCATCCCATACAAATCACCCAGCAGAGCTGTTTCACACTCCACAGGCCATAAGCCTGACAACAAGTTTCTGAACAACTACTGCACATTAAAGATAATTAGACTGACCCCTGAGCTCACATCTACCCCACCACCACACCAGGCAGGCTAGAAATTGCCAAGAAGTCATACCACCTACCATATCTTATTGCTTTAAAAAATGAGCCCGTGTAGCCAGCAGATGTGCTCTAGTTGTGAAAACTTCAGGTGAGCTGCAAAGTTTTCTGGAAGAAACCTTGCTTGCATTTGGCAGGCTCTGACAATAACAGATTGATTTCCAAGGCCTCCCACAAGCTTTCCAACCTGAACACCTAAGCTGCTAAGTAGCTGCTGATGGGGCATTTCTAGGACATCTTACCTGATCTGTAGACAAAAAATGTGGTATTTAAATGTGCAATATAGACAGCTAATCCAGAACATTCGGTATGCATCCATCAAACAACTGCAAAAATGAGAAAATAAGAGCATCTCTTTGGAACAGGGAAAGGGGGGGGAATCAGCATCTGCAGCAATAAAGACAAGGTCTAGAAAAATAAGTTATTTAGTGGTTTTTATAAGAACAGTCGCTCTGGGACTCAGCAGAAGTGTTGCACATTTGCATGTACACGTGCAAATAGTGAGAACAAGATTTGCTCACCTTAGAGCGTTTACCTTCCTATCAGTCTGGCACTGCCAAGAGCACATCCAGCAGACTGGAACTCAAAGAACAGCATGACAAGACAGAAGGCCAACACAGTACAACTGCAGAAATTCAAGTAGAAGAATGAAATTGTCTTCAGAAGCCCACAGCAGCAACAGCAGTATTCAAGATCAGTGGCAACAAGGAATGTTTCTGTAATGCAGGCTTTTTTTCCTTTTCTCCAAACCAAAGGGCTCAGTCACAATCAAGGCTCTTGGGTAGAAGTGTTACTTCCCCAACCATGCTTCCCTCATTTCTCCCCATACCATTTTGTCTCAGTGCAGCAACATTGGTGCTAATGATCTGTCTGTCCTGCTGCTATCGGGCAAAACAGTGTGTCCCTTTGGGGGGGAAACAAACACCAGTAACTCCTCAAATTGAGGAGTGGCTAAGAAAAACATAACACTGTGGTGAGGTGGAACCAACTTTATTAAGGACAGTGAATTATAATTGCTTCCAAAGGCTTTAAAAAAAAAAAATTTACTCTGAGTCATGGCTGGCCTTTAACAGCAGATACCAAAGGATATGGAGGCTGCCTGATTCAGAGCCAGTCAGTGGGAGTTAACCAGAAGAAGATGAGGTAATGCTCAAGGACAGGAGGACAACCGGACTGCCTGAGGCACCTGTGGAGCACCGGTGTGCCTACCACTAGCCTTCAGAAGGGAAAAAACCACAGGCCGACTAAAGCACAGAAAGGCAAAATGTGCAAGGGTACATATACTCACATGTTTAAGAGTCAAAGGACCAGAAAGGACCTTAATAGGTTGTCAGACCAGCCTTCTATCTGACCCCCAGAACAGGGAAGCTCTGAAAGCAATGCATTCATCTCTTCTACTCCACATATTTCATTTTAGGAAACTCATCTCAGAAAGATGCTAAGCTCTTACAAAGAGGTGCTACACACCCTTTACCACTGTCTGACCAAAGCAGGAGCTGAGAGCTCACAGCTTTCAGGACTGGTTCTGCAGATACTGAGAAGGGTCATACAACAAGCTAAATTTATACAAAGTGCAATAAAACTACCCAAGCCATGGTCAGGTTTGTAAGTTCACTATTATTAGTGAAGAAGAATGAATCAAAAACTCAAATCTGGATGGAGTCTGATCTAATTCTTCTTCCACTATTTGTGCTTTATTCCAAATTCCACTCTCTTTTGTTCAATTCAAAAGAGTCTGTCTTGGCTGATCCCAACATGCGCTTCTATTTTAAAACTTTTATTCCATTGCTTCAAGAAAGCTTTTTGTTGCATTTAGAGCAAAGGGAGACAAATCTCCATAGCAAGGATTCGTTCACTGGAGGTAAGCATTTACTCTTGGTAAAAGCTGTTCTCTCCAACTTCCAATGGAAGGGATATGATCTTTCCATAATCACATGCATTTTCCAATAAATAAGTTTGGATTAGACTGTATTAAAACATATACACAGATTTAAAGCACTGGAGTGTCACAGGTTGTTACTCCACAGCTCATGCAAGTAAAAAGAATTAAAGACAAAAGAAAAAAAAAGAAAGACCAAAGCCTCAGCTAGGAACAGACCAAGAAATTACTGTAAAAGAAGTTTTGCACAAGTATATCAAAGCACTAATATTAGTGAGATCCCTAAATACATTAGGTTACACTAAAATCCAGAGAAAAAGATTTAGCCATATCAGATACACGTTTTGATTTTTTAAGTTAATATATAATTCATTCTTTGAATAATATTATTCACTTGGACCCAACATCCACACTGCTTTCATACATTTATACAGTTATATCCCATCCTTGCCTTAAGAGACTGATGTCCTAAGGTATGGCAGCAACCAAAGGCTCTACAACCCTTGTTTGTCAAATATAAAACTCCTTTCCCTTCATACAAGGGTGAATAAGGAAGAAAGATGTTGATAAAATTAGCCAATTCTCCCTGTGAGCTTGCTGATTCCAACCTCAAAGTACTACAGGGAGATGGTTGGAAGCTTGCGTAAAAAAAAATTTCCCTTGTTTTAAAAACAATTTCTTTTACTGTACAACAGATGCATAGAAAGTTGCTTCCTGCTTGATGGGTTTAGGCCTGTAGCTATGTTTAGCTGTGAAAACAAGAAGATTGTTCCTTTACAGAGTGGTGAGGAGAGAGACCAACTTAGGAATATTTGGCAGCTATTGAAGAGTTCATGATACGAAGAATAAACAGCATATCCACAGACCACAACGATGCAACTCTGTCCCACCGAATACACCAATTTAAAAAAAAGTGTCCACTTGTTACTCAAGATCAAGAATACAGTAGAGATTCACGGCTCAACAGCTTTCAAACTGGTGGTTTAAAAAAAAAATTGTCAGTGAGCAGCAGATTTTAAAATAGCCCACTCTTCTCTCCCCCACCCCAAAGAAACATGAGTTCACTGCAATATCAGGAACTTAGACTTGAGACTACTTGGGAGAGAAGGCTTCCCTGTCACCCATGTCCATACAGCTTGGTGTCGGAGCGACACACTGGAGGTTTCAGAGGGTTTCGGTTGTCCAGTGTCTTGTTGTGGTTACTTCAGCAGTTTTACCAGCTGGCTCTGACAGCCTCAATGTCACTAACCAAATTCTGGGCTAAGCATATCCCAAATATCTGGAAGAAACAACAGTTTATTCATTTGGAGCATCGGACAACTCTTTTCACACAGGCAAACTCCTCAGGTTATACAGAACTTTGATATGAAAAGCAAGCAACAGAAAGTTAGAAATCAAATTAACAGCAAGTGTTGGAATAAGGAAGAATATTGAAAAACTCCTGTAACCTCCTGTAATCCCAGTATTTTTATAGTGCCACTGGGTTCCAGGAAATTGAACAGTTCTAGACTTGCTTCACAAAAGCAATGGTAAAGTTTCTCGCTGCTCATTTAAGCACCATCAGAAACAGTGGGTCTGTACAGGCTTAAAAATCTCTACCTAATCATTATCTGACACAGAGTGTTAGTTTTGACGTTCAGACAGCTAAAAAGAAAAAAATGCATCCCTATAGATAAAAATTAAGTACTCCTTAACACAAAGAAAGTCTCATGCATTTAGCTCCCCTCACTAAAACCTACGGACGTTGTATTTCTAAGTGCAACTGACACCGTGTTTCCAGTTCTCATAGACAGTTTCCCCCTTATATATTCTATTAATCTGTTGTTGTTCTGTGTAACTCATTACAGGGAACGTGATGTTTACCTGCAGTAATGCTATTCCAATGAATATACCGGCAACTATGGTAAGATTGTCCTGCAACCATTTCTCAAATTGAGGGACACAGCCTTTAGTGTAGATAACGATCTGCTGATCAACTTCCTGCCAAGGAGAAGAGGGAGTAAAACAGAAATAATTACATTCAACTACCCCATCAGTAGAACAACCTGCTCTTGCAAGAAGGATTCAGATCCTTAAGATACCACATTAAAAAAAAATGCTTACTGGTTTTTGTCTTGCATCGTAGCCACACTGAGTATTAATAACATCTTCCTAGGAGAGAGAGACAGACAGAAGAGAGGCAATCAGTCAAGTGTCTCCCAAACACCCTCTCTCCCAGCTCCCCAGAGTTGCTCCTGTATGTAATAAGACAATCACCCTAACTTTGGTTACCATATTGCTTTTTAAAAAACCCTTCCTCTTCCATTGAGTGCTATTAATTATTTGCAAAAAAAGCACATGGTCAAAAAATATTTTTAGCTCTCAGGGAAGCAAGCTGGGAAAATCAGCCCTCCACCTGGGTGAACTCCATGTTCCCAATGCAAGTGTTCAGAAGTCAAAATAAAGGGATTAGGGAACATCTATTTTAAGTGAAAGAACCTTCTGCTGAAAAAGTTTTGTCTACACTGAAAAACATGCCAAGACTACCGTTAACATTTTCAGAGTTCAGTCTGTGCAGCGTGAAGAGGTGAGAAGGGGCAGTTCTGTTGCAGAAGCTGCAAGTTCTTACCAAGGATGTCTGTAGAAATATATACAGTACCTAATTCCTGTCCAAAGACTAGGGAGGAGAAGGAAGAGATGGAGTAATGTGTTCTTACTGCCTATTCTTTCTTACAGGAGCTTGATACCAATGGCAAAGGAGGGATCTTTTTTTCCTACTGCCTCTGCTTTAGTACTCCCAAAGCAGAGGTGATACAAAAGGCTATGGTAGACTTCTCCTAGTGAAGAAGTGCTACCCATTGGAAGCTGAAGCTGCATTTACTCTGCATACAGAGTTATTTCAGGGCAGTAAAATGAAGCAACTACTTTTGGTGTCAGCCACAATGGCAGCAAAGTATTAAGTTACTGGATTATATAATAACAGTGAGCAGAAGAAGGAACTACTCAAGGAAGTAAGAAAATCAGCCAATCTTAGCTAGGTGTGCTGAACACCACAATTTAATCAAATTGTGGGACATGAAAAAGGCAGCCAGCAGAGAAACAGATTTTAAAAAGCAGCCATATGGAAAAAGATATCTCCTCCTATCAGTTAAAGCTCTTTTAAGTGTTTCCTCACTTTGCAGGAAGTACATCAACAGGTCACATCCTGTCAGTTGCCCAAGTTGGATTCCCTCAATGAACCTTTAAGATTTAAGCAATTAATATCTTTTAATGAGATGAATGCTTCTGTTCTAGGGTCTAAAATATAACAGCGCCACACACTTCAAGGCTGTAAAAGCAGATAAGATTCCAGAGGGATTTTAAGCATTCTCTTTCGTACTGAATGCCTACTTGCTTTATCATCAGTGTCTTCTGCCTTTAGCCTTGGAATATGTTAACCAAAAAAAAGTGTGAAGAATAAAATGGAAATAAATAAACTTTTCTAGGCCCTGCCTGTAGAGGAATTTGGAACATCTCAACCTGCTAAACTACAGCAAAATGAACTATAGGAGTCCTAAACTATTTGTTGTAAAGGAGACTTATTTTGGCCTACCTTAAACTTAGCACTTCCTGATTCAAGCTAAACTAAAAGTAAGTCCTGTTCAATAAAGTATCCACTATTTTTTTGCATCAGTCCAACACTGCATCCTAATTCCAAAAGGGACAAATTTAGTTTCCCACAGAATAAACCTGTGTTTAGCACTGCAACTGAACCAGTCACAGCTTGGTTACAATTATATCCATTATATGCATGACTTTTAATATTTTTAGAAATATTATTCTTTTTAGTCTTTATTTTAAAGGCAGTTAAGTGTGTTGCTTCCTTACAATGAATGAGACTTATCTTTAAATTTCTGGTTGCTGCATCACCCCCTAAGAAACTGTATCACCATATACACAGAGAGAGAGAGAGAGAGCTATAACTTTAGCATGGATTATGTATTTATAGGATTACCTTGTACTGCTGTCACTGGTTTGGTTTTATAACAACTATATTTTTAAAACTGGGTTGTGATGACCTCTCTGTGTGGGTGGGTGGGCAGATAGGCAAACAGTAGGGGGAATCCTAAGCATAATGCTTGAGCCTAACCTACATTTTGTTTTAATATTTCATTAAAACATTTTCAGCAATGTTTGCGAGAAAGATTCAAACCACTGTGAAGACATGTTCACTGCAGAGGAACCAGAATGCACCTTGTGCAAGTGGCAGTGCCTTAGCAGAAGAGGGGGAGAGCAGCAGTAGTGACTGGATGCCAGGAGCAGCAACTGTGTTGCATTAGCAAGGCAGAAAGCACCTCAGGTGCCTGTCGGCAACTTGCATAACTTTAGTGGGTACTACAGACTCATGCATTCAAGGAACTGTAAGTCACTCCAGGTGGAGAAAAAGCCACAGCTGAGCTACTAGATAATAAAAGCACTCACAGGCTGCTGCTTTTAAACTACATGAAAGTCAAATGTATGCAGTGTTAGCCACGTAACAGTTTCCATGCACACACCCATCCCTATTCTAAGCCTTTCACTGTCAGTGAACTGCTTCCCTACACTTCACCCTTCATTCTTGATCATGTCTGTACTAGCAATGCATGGCTCCAACATTTTCTGCTTGATGATCCAGAACTATAACTATTTAAAAAGACATAAAAATTTACCAAAAAGCTGTTCCCTCAAACAATTTCTGACCTGTCAAGTCTGATCTCAGGTGACTGTAGGACAAACAGTAATTTTAAAGGGAATAAAAGAGCATGTAAAGATGTCCATACCCAACTCAAGTTTCTAATGCAAACATATGTCAGTTTTTCAGGACACAGACTGTCATTCATTACGGTAGCTAGCACAAACTGGGTCAAACTAGCTGCAGCCCCTGGACACTGCATTAAATAATGAGTAATACCTTCTTTAGAGTGTCTGATCTTAGAGTTGCTGTTCTTTAAGGCAGCCAATGAAATATCCTGATGATATTCAATTGAAAGCTCATATCCTTCAACTCATTAAGGCCTTCTGCTTTTTATACTTGCTAAAATTAATATGTATGTTCAGCCACGCCCATAGTTCTCATTCTAATGAAAAGCAGCAAACAGCATACAATGAAGACTTAAGCTAGCTCAGGTTTTTTGCTGACTGCAGAAAAGTTAGTGGTTAAGCTGAGCTGCAAGTACAAAAAGAATACAGGTTGGTGAGAAGGTAATGATAATGTATGACTTCGGGGGCGGGGGGGTGTGGAATATCTTAGAGTGATTTAAAATTGGAAGGGCAAACCCATCCTACCCTCTTGACTGTCACTTACGGCAGGGTCTTTCGTGCAGCAAGAGAACGGCACACCACAGCGCTCTCGACTTGCATTGGAATCTGTGCAGTTGAAGTAAATATTAAGGTTCCAGTCATCAGCTCCAAAAGCCCCACAGCACTGCCACTAGAACAAAGAAAGGAGAACTTCCTGACTTTCAGAACAAATCTCAGCATTAGTAACATGCATCATCATGGCCAGTTTCCCTCCAGCTTTCAAAACAAAATCTGAGATACCCTCTGGTTTCATTGAAGCTGGCTTGGTTTTGTTTTTTAAAAAGACCACCATTCCAAACCTGTAAGCTGTTCTAAAATTATCATGTGATGAAAGTTATGTTCATACCCTGCAAAGCTGCTCTCTGGAGAGAAACCCATGGAGTGAGCTGATAAGCCTACACAACACCACAGAGTTGCATAGGCCTACAAGCTATGGCCCCAGGGATAGTAGAGCCAGTATGATATTCCATCCAGTCTAATATGCCCTAGGTTCTCAACAAAACTAATCAGCTCCAAGGGCTACACTGGTATAGCTACTCCATTTGCCAGTTTGGGGGAATCTTTGCCTGACTGTACATCAGACAGTATGAACACATTGTTTCCTGAGCATCACACATTGCTCAAATAACCTCTTCACTGAAGGCAGGCAGAATCCTTCAAAAAGTAAATATGCCAAATGGCAGGCTTAGTCTCTGGCAATACATGCTGAACATACAAAGAATGGACTGGAGATCAGTGGAGCCCTGATGGTGTACAGCATTTAAGAGGCTAACCCAATGAACCCATCTATATCAACTTTAAAGAAAAAAAAAGTAATTTAAAAAAACCCAAGCAAACCACATTTTTAAAAGCATTGGAATGGCAATTCTCTTTCTAGATGTAGCACAGTTTCCTCTGCAATACCAGAACATGTTGTCTTCAAGCATTATCTCTACTAGCTGAAAAAGTAGCTTGCTCTCCAGACTCATACTGTCCCTGACTTACCTGCTGAGATTGCTAATCCAGTTAGGAGAGCAAGTTTTATGTAGCATCTGCAAAACTGGATGGTAGCCTCTTGGTTACATACAAGTGGACCACTCCTTTCAGACTGCGGTGACCCCTGACCTTCTCCCAACTCAACAAGACACAAACCAGTGCAAGGATCCACATCCTGTTACTTACTTGTCATTTTTTCCCCCCCAAGGCATAAAGAAGCAAATCAAATGCTGAATGAAATTATTTTAATTCCAGAATGTACAAAAATTGGTAAATATTATTTCGACCAACACTTAACCATGTTAGCTACACAGGGCCAAATTCAAAGAGGAGTTCATCAACACAGGCCAGAATTGAGTACTAGAGTAAGAAGGTACTGGCAAAATAACTTGTATGCAAAAGTCAGTGTAAGACTCCTTTACACACACTGATAAATTACAGAGCTTAACCCACACAAGCATGTGCATCTCTGCCTTCACCCTTCCCTCCTAAGTGCAGATGTACATTGTTTAGAGATTTCCTATGAGAACTTCATGAGTTGCCCACTTCATTAGCCTAATTGCATTAAGTCTACTTAAAAAGAAATTACATTGTAGTTCCACTCAGACCAGCTAAACATCTCTGCCACTCTGCAGCATGGTGTAGCACCTCTAATGTTGCTAAAACTACACCAAAATTCATCTCAGAACAAAATTAAGCTTAGAAAAGGATTTTTTTTTTTAAACAGATGTGATAGCTTCTACAATAAAATATTTTAAAGATTCCCCCCCCAAGAACCCTAAAATATCTTCAAACACATATAGAAAATGCTCCAAAAAACTGAACATAAGACACTGATGATTAATTTGTAGATTTGACACGCTATCTCTAAGTCTTCAAGAATAAGTCACCCTAACTCTCCACCTTGTTTTGCTCAGTGATACATCAACGAATAAGCCATTTTTTAGAGGTGCTGTGTGTTTGTAGAAGTTCTGTAAAGAGAAATATACTTATATATATATATTCAAAAGTATTATATGCTACAATATTTCTGTTGTTCCTTGAAGAAACCAAACAGATGGGAGGTAAAAAATACAGTAGGTATTTCTTTAAAGTCAGCTTTACAAAAAAATAAACAGTGCCCAACTTACATATTCCTGTGTGAAGTCTATGAGGTTTTGCAAATCAATGTCATCTCGGTATGCTCTGATATTGTTGTTTATAAAGAAATACAGCTGGTCCTTTATCCAGTCTTTGAAAACAAATGCTAGAACACCAGCAGTGAGCTCCAAGAAGAAAATAATTCCCAGAAACACAGAAAACTATGAAGAAAAAGAAAAAGGTTAGAATTATTTTGTTTTATGACCAAAAACTTATTTTTCAAGGCTCATAATTATGTCCATTGTTAGGGCTTTATCTGTTTCAGTGTAAGTTCAAGCTATTCCAGCACAAAGGAAATTTTAAATTAAAAATACACCATTTTTAATTAGGGCTGTAGTACAGGAATCTTAAATCTATTCTAACAAATAATAAAATGCCAACAAATCCAAACTTTGGACATTTCACTGGGATTTTCAGAGAGGTCCAAGAGAATTCACTGTAAATTTCAATAGAGATGGCTACTCACCACCTGCAGAGCCCTCTGAAAACTCATCTTAAATTTCTATGTAGGCACTTATATTTTCAAAGGCATAAACAACCAATAATGCCAGTGAAATGCTAAGTGACTTTTTCATTGGTAAAGCTTTGCCTAAGCAGACAAAGCAAAAATTGGTAACAGCAGAAATTAATTAATGATTAAGTCAGAGCAGAATGTCTATGAAATGACTCACATCCACACTAAAACCAAATGAGGCTGGTATGATTAATGCAAATGCAATGGATGCCAAAGGCATTAGTAATGATCTGCCACTTTCTCTAAGCATCTCCACTGAGTCTACCCTGTTTTAAAACACACAGGGGTCCTCATATACTGGAAGTCCATCCCTTTTGCAATTGCGCCTTTGAGTTTCATTTTAATATGCTCTCTGTGTTTGTTCAGATGCATTTTTAATTTCTCCTGCAGCTGCTGTATAGGAAGCTATTTCTGGTACAGCAGATGGGTTAATTTTAGGCAAGCTAAGAGAAGCAAGGAAGAGGAGAAGTGTTACAATAGCTCCCCCCCTCTTTTCTCTCTCTCTTTTTTTTTTTTTAAGACAAGAGCAAGCTAGAACTAACCCAAGCTGCTTTATAAATGCCACAAGAACTGCAACTCTCAACTGCCTCCTCCCCTTACACAACATGTCTGTGGGAGCCAAATATGTCGCTTGAAGACAGTTGTTTCACTAGAAGCCTTTTCATGTATATATTAACAGTTAATGGTTATGAAGACACAACTACTACCCAGGCTGTGCCCACCTCTGGAAGTTGGAGTGGTGGAGGAAAGAATCTTGAATTTTTCTTACAAATCTTAAAATTTATCTAATATGGAATATAATACTGTTATCCTCATCTTCAAAGCTCACAGGAGGAAGGCTTTCAAAAAACAGAACCAGGCTACTTAGCTAAAGGAGTTTTAAATACTGAGGAATGTTTGTATATCAGCAGCTCCTTCCCCAACTAACAGTCCAGCCCAGCGTTCAAGATGACAACTTCTATTTTCTTTACCTATCCTGCGCACGTTCTCCTCCCTTTCTCCCTCTCAGGCCCCAGGACTGACAGTAAGCAATGAAGCCTTTTCAAATTAGCTAAACAGTACAGAACTGAGGATATCAGCAAGCAACCCCTCATAACAGTCCTATCTCCTCTGTACCATGAGGGGCACTTGCACAGCAGAAATCACACAGGTCACATTTAGTAGTGTATCTACATTCCCTGTATTTCATAGGCAGCTTGTCATGGATTCAAAGTTCAACATGCAGATTCTTAGCAGAAATTTCTCCCTTTTCATGACAGGAAAGCAAAATGTTAGGCTATATCCATATGAAAAACAGTAGTTCCATGTTCCGATTCTTACTGCCAGTAGTTTTGAACCCTAAAAAAAACCAGCCAGCAAGCACCAGAGACTGAAGAGCTGTAAAGTGTTAATAGTAAGCAAAAGCAATTCACAGAACAATACTCTCACATCAGGTAATATCTTCTGCTCCCCCAAAGACGTTTTTAAATCTTTACGCAGTTAAGCAGGAACAGAGAACATGACTTAGGCTACGTAACTGATGGATACCACAGTTGCAAAGGCTACTTACAAATTTGAGAAGAAAGGTATTTTCTCGCAAAGCTCCAATGCATCCTGCAAATCCCAAAATGAACATAACTCCTCCTACCACTAGGAAGAGCCAAACTGGATCAAAGCCTCCCAGGTCGGTGATGGAGGAGATATTGGACAGCACTCCCTGGGAAAGAAATAATGCCAAGGGATAACAAGTGTGTTCAGTTTTCAGTTGTACAAGTTCTGCTTGCATTTTTCTTTTTAAAAAAGTAGAAGACTACAGCAAATAGATGTTCTGCAGTACAGCAAGAAAATACAATTAAGAAAATCTTTGCATTCAAAAAGATATTAAAAGGGCAATTATGCACAACATTTCTGAATCAACATGTGGAACGAACAACAAAATGTGCTTCTAGTCCTCTGTGAGAAACTCACAGGGCATTTCACTGCTTCTATAACTATGAGAATTCATCTGCCAGAAAGTCAGAATAGATATTTGAACAAAACTTAACTCAATCATATTACCCATGCTGAGATGCATTTTAGGTATCATATACATTGTTTATGTAAGCACACAGTTACACATCTTGTGATAGAAAAAGCAGTCAATAGCAAGAACAGCTCCTTGAATTTAGCATTTATGCTCAGTATTTACAACAATTGACAGAAATTACAAGTGAGCTCCTAGGTCGCAGCATCTTGCAACAACGAATTTTACACCAAATTTTGACAAACTAGGTACCTGGCCAACCCAACTTCAGGCATCTACAGTACCAAAAACTCATTACATAAATAAAGTACAGCTATTGACTAATCAGTTAGCAGGAAAAAAATTGAAAATAATGTTAAGTCTCTTAGTAGGACATAAGGCAGTTTAAGAACTTGTCTTGGGAGATAGTTTGCACTAACTTAGGTTAGAGCTATCATATGGTAAACCACATATGTTGTGTTTTAGATATGACAGTCAGCACAGTCTGCTTGTAATGCCATTGTCCCCTTAGAAGCAGAGCTTGGGTTGTGAAGCCAGTAATCCCAAGAACTATTTTATTTTTTTGAACTCATTTTAACCAGAGTTTGGCTGATGTTGAACAGATGGGTCATATCAAGAAGCAAGTACAAAGCCTTCCTTATCCCAGTGAGCTTGCACAAGAACAGTTACAGTTTCCTAAAGCCTTTTGGCAGCAAAAAAGCTGAAGTATCACTACTTCTTCATTCACCTCCCAGTGCTGTAGGTCAATGCAAAGCACACTGCTGTAGCAGACATTTCACCATATCTTTCCTCAAAGAAGCCTGAACCCAGGCTGAGTGCTTTGGACTACTGCTTTCCCTACTAACTCCTGAATGAAGCTGTGGCTTGAAAAGCAACAATATAGACCTTTAACTCTACAGCTCCTTATATGCAGAATTATTAAGTTCTTCATCCTTTTCCTTTTCCCTGTTCATATCCCCTTTGCGTCTTTGAAATTGTCCCCAAAAAGCAATAATTTTGAAGGAAGTTATCATAACCTTATTTCCAAAAGTTGTTAGTAACATTGTTAACAGATGACTGCTCACAACTGTGGCTTTAGACATGTGGGTTTTTATTTGTTTGTTTGTTTGTAAATATACTCAGTTTGGACCACTTGGAACATATAAATAGTCATGTAACGAATACCTTTAATACAGTACTCCACCTAGTCTGCAACCACTTCCATAGTTTCCCAAGCAAAACTGACATTGAGCAAGTAGTAAATGAAGGCAGTACTCGAAGCTTTTTAAGTCTGCAGACAATGATTGACTGGATAAAATACACACATTAATTTCTCCAATGCACATAGCAAGGAGCCTTGGAAAAGGCCAGCATGCTAAAAGCGAAAGAAAAACCTGACTACAACCCAATCCTAAAGTATGAACAATAAACCAACAGCATGAATGACATTCTCAAAGTGGATTCCTCTCCCTCCTACTACAGAAGGCTATTGCCAGACAGAGAGATGAAAAGGAAAAAAAAAATATTAAAAAACACACAACACATTCATCACTTTTCTCCTACCTTACATGTAGTGCTAGTCTTATTGTCATTCATTAAAAAGACAAAAATAGACGTTAGGCATGATATAACACAACGCTGCTCAGAGACAGTATTGCTCTCAAAGCAGAGTAGTTGGCACATCCCTTTTTCTAACTAGTGATGAGATGGTACAAGCCAGGCTGAAATGAACACTTATCTGTCATTAACACTTAAATCAACGTGTGCAAAAGTTTTCCACTGCTTTTGCTTCATTACATTTGTCATAGAGAAGAAATCAATGACATAACTTTCTGGCTAAGAATGACACACAAAATAAACAGTATAATCCAATAACACACAAACCTTTGAAAAAGTCATGGCCTAGGCCATACACAAGTCAGGAAACATGAGCTCTGCCCCAAGGGACAAAGACTGCTAAAATGACTTCTTCACAAAGTTTTTAAGTCCTTTTTATGTTTCCCCTCTGTGCCTATATAGTTACCATAAGAAATTCTGCCTTAAAGCAAAAAATACTACTCATTTCTTTTAACATTAGCTGATTTTGGAATTAATGGACTGTAGTATAGTAGAGTGAGAAAACAGTAACTGGAGAAAGGATGTTGCCTTTGTATTTTAATTATTTTACTTCCAAAAAAATCCAAGAAGGATGAACAGTCATTTAAGTCTCTCTTTATAAGACACTTTGTTGGTCTTAAAAAAAAAAAAGAAAAAAAGAAAACAATAACAACAAAAAAATCACAGCAAATTACTACATTTAATCAAGTTCCTTCTAGATGAAAGTAATAAAATTCAAATGAAAGAAGAAATCCAAGTGAAATTCAGCTCACATTTGTGGACAGTGCTCTTAGAGAAGCTAGTCATAATATAAAGAATTATTAGTGAGAAGAAATACACCACTTTGCATTTTGTCACACTCCCGTTGAAGTCGATGACAATAAAATTTAGTGAACCAGTTGTATATTTCCTTTTTGATCATGTCCTTTCCCACCTTACTTGATTTGCTAGCACTGTCAGGCTCTTAAAACCCTGGCATATCACATACTGCTCCTCAGGGCAGCTACAATCTGACACTTACTGAAATAGAACACAAGCTTTATCTGCCATTGTTTGCTGTCCTTGGAAGGCCCCTTTATGTGCATCTTTTGCTAGTCCACATATGGCAATCATAAGCCTAGCTTGGATAAACCCCAAATAATACATCCTGACAGCGCAAAGCACATACTGCCTAATTCTCATTTGTACTCTGTGTGCTCTCTGCATATGAATCCCAAGATATCAATATTCTGGAGAGACGTCTCAGGATATACAATCTTCAGAGAGGCTTTGGCAATAAAACAATAGCTAGCAGCAGGAATGACAAACACAGACATGCTCTGTGGTTACAGCTAGAGATGCATAGAGGTAGTCTGAGAGAAGATAGCTGCTTACTGCTGAAATACGGTTTTCCAGTCTTGTTTTTTTTCTGGACACTTACAAATAAGCTCTCTGAAGAAACAGCGGTGCAATACTTTAAAGAAAAGTATATTTTGCTTCAAGCAGCAGGGCAATGATCATGTAATATTATCTCACTTTATATTGTTAAGAAGAACTAAACATACAGTCCTATAGGCACATACATCTCCTATCTACCACAAGTTTCTATAATGCCTACTATCACAGGATTCAGTATTTTTTGGCTGTAACTGCTACTTCTGTGGAAAGTTTGGCAGAGATGTACAAACGCATGGTAGTGACCAATTCTGTCTTCATCCCATCTTTAGCTAAAAGCAAAAGGGAATGTTTCCAGAGGTGCTTGAGCAGAGGATCAGGAATCTCATATTCTAACACTGCATCCTCCAGTGACACGCTCTGAATCCTCAGGCTGACCAGTCAGTCACAGAATATACAGTGACTGTTTGTTGAGTGATCTCTTGCATCAACCTAAACAAGCCAGACCTAAACAAACCTCCTGTATATCCTTTAAAGTCAGGCTTTCTACAAATACAAAGTATTTTTCTCAGCAACACTACTGCAACAGTCCACTCCATGCTTCAGTTCACACCAGGGAACAGTCTTAGAGCACACAGACTAAATTACTTACAAAGGAAGATGTGCCCCTGGAACATAATATGTGCTCCAGCCACTAGCAGGCATTCAGTCCATGAGATCACACTAGAACCAGGCTGAAAACTCAAACTTTCAAAACCTGCAGAGTGTGCAAGTTGGGTCTTCAACACCATTTCTTCTCTTATTGGTCCACGCTACCTGCATTTAGCAGACATATCCTTTGCGCACTGAACCCAGAAAGTTACTTTAATTTCCCCAGAATGTATGGATGCCAACGCAGACATCTTGGTTGGAGCAATGCCCCAGTGTTGGCACACCTACATAATCTGTTTGTGTTCCTGGTTCCTAATGAGGCCAAACAGAAGGGAGTCACAAGTGCATTAACAAACTAGCGAGATTCCAGACCGTCTGTGGCTGTAGTTAGTGTAGAGAATCCACTGCCACCTTCAGGTCTCAGAAATGTTCCCAGAAGTTTGCTAGACTGTTGCTTCTCTCTGGAACAGCTGATTGCACAGGCACAGTAGTGTACTGCAGGGCAAGAGAGAATGGTTCCAAGTGAAAACACTCTAGGTAGCAGCAATTTTGAAAAGCTGACCAAGTAATGAAAATTCAAGGCATCTTGAGTCAGAGACAACTCAGGAGAATCATCATCCTATGGAACAAAGAGGTGATACACTGTGAAAGTATATGGGATTTGGCCCACCAGAGTGCATGTAAAAGAACAGGGCTCAACACAACAGACTCCATGACATACAACATCCCAGAGGGTCATTAAAAAGTAAAAAGAAGAAACCAACACCAGCAGCATGGGAGAAATCAGCTATTTCTTTTCCATTTCCTCTACAATGGGAAAAAAACCTTCCCTGCTGCAGAATCCCATTACGGGGGGGACGACGACAAATGGTCAGAAAAAGATTCGGCAATACAAGATCTTCTGAAACATTTCTTCTTTGCAAACAGAGGATTAGCCTTTCCACAAGCTTGTCTGCAGGACTTAAAATCACTGGCAAAAAACAGGAACACGTGGGAATGATGGGAAATAAAAGTATTTCCAAATGCATGATTTTAAAATGGAAAAATGTCTCTCTACTTTGTTAGTCACAAAATTCATACAGTTTCTCCATGCT